ATTCGTGAATAAATCGCACCAATTAGAGCCAATCAGATTACAGGGACCACCAGTGATTTCAAAATGGATGTAATAAAGGTTGTTATCATTATTTTGATTTTCATACTTAGGTGTTCAGCGGCTTTTATGGGAACTGAATGTGTTCGAAAGTCGTTTTAGTTGTGACACAGAGCCGGATAATATTACAATAGCTACTAAATGAAATCTCATTTATCACTTACTCATGATAACAATTTTGCGTTGAAGTCTTCTGCAAAAACATTATGAGATCGTGCTGCATTACCCAGCATTGCTCTACGTAGGGGAAGTTAACATAATTTAATGTTCCAAGCGTATCATCACCGGGATCTCCGGAACCATTATTATTATTATTATTATTATTATTATTATTGATTGTAAATTCCCGGCTATAACCTATTTCTTGCATTATCGATAAAAACTCTTAATTTGTATCTTTTTGTGAAAAAATTCTCGCTTTAGATGTGCTGAGAACTTCTTACTGTGTAATGTTTCTTGAACTTGTGCAAACGTCATTACAAGGCGATAAATTTAAAGAAATTAAGGGTAATGTTACTGATAAACTATTCGTCCTTTTTAATAAAATTGATTAGTTGAGTGGAATATTTTATCGAGTAACGATGCTTAAGTGTTATATAAGATTTTCCTTGACAATGTATAAGAAAGTGTTTTTTGGAGAAAAAAAAAACTGATTAGAACTGATAACCATGGAAATAAAATTTGAGTTTATTCTCTTAAAAAATCTAAAAAAATAGATATTAAATTCCATGGATTTTATCTTTAAATAGTATTTTTGTAGCCTTACGTCTTGTTTACCTATCAAGACGTACTCTAAAACAGAGACTGACTTCAGTACACTCAAAATGGCAGGTGTTTTAAGGCCTTATTTTCCAATTAGGATTAACACTCCATAACTGTGGTGTCAACCTTTTTCAGAAAGTTCCTATCTTAAGAAAAGTGGAACCGAGAGTTAACAAATCGACAATGGTTTAGCGTGCTCTGTACTCTAATCGACAAGGGCATTCGTCATCACAGAGGTCAAAATGTTCTGGACTCACTCAGCGGTGCCTCTTTCAGAAGGTAACACGTTGCATGACACGTTAAGGCAAGCAGCGTTCGTCAGATTGCGACATTGGTGCCAATTGTGGTAAAAATGAATTGAGGTTCGACCCATTTCAATTGATTCTACTCCATTCGATCTAAGATAACTCTGAACAGTAATGAATGATAAGTTTTAATTATTTTGGAAGATTAAACAAAATTCGCGTGCCATTGGATCGTAATTGAAACGCCCTTCAAAAACATCAACAGTTACCTGCAATAAGCCGCTAAACACGCAAGTATAAAATAAAACGACAGCACAACACACCCAACCATTCGTAGTCTCAATTCCAACAGATTTAGCCTAATTTGCATATTCTAGCCTATATTTGACGTACTGCAGCAGTTGGGGCCGAACTTGTTCTTTTATTTCAATATACACTCTTTGTTGAATCGATATTACTACACAAAGAAAAAAGATAAGAATTGAACAATGGAATTTCTACTACTTCAAAAATAAAGATCAAATATGCACGGGGTTTATTACAGTGCTCAAATAGTTCTGAAAAGACGCGCGCTAGCTTAAAGAGAAAGTACGGTCTAGAAAAAGTTTACTTATATCAAAAGTTCCTTGCTTGCATTGTCCTAACTGGCTATTCATTTGAGCTAAAAGCGTTTTAGTTGCGAGCAATTACGTTCCAAAAATCGGCATTTTCAAATTGAAGTCCGCCATCTTTGTTATGACGTAGCAATAGTCAAACATGCCAATTTTATATCCCTACTGAAGTGGATGTAAACAAGGAGAACAGCGGCGAGGGGACGCCACTTATTAAATACTCCACTTGGATTTTAATCTAGCTGAGAGGATGTAGTACACCCATTTATGTTTCAATGACGAAACATGGCTCGTTTTCAGGGGAAGGAGATACTTCTGTTGGGGAGAAAGAGAGAGAGAAAGTCAAGAAAATGAATTTCAAGAAGAAACGTCGACCCGCTCAGTCGCACGCGTCTTGGTTATCGCAAGTGGTTCTCTTACGGCAACTGTCAAGGAAAACCTACGAAAAACGAGAATGTATCCTCCTAAGAATTAAATGTACTAGGACACTGACTCCATTTTAATCATGAAAAGCAAAGGCTTTTTCTTCAAATAAATCCTCGCTGTGGAGTGATAGTTATTTTGCTAAAGAAGACCGCAGTGCCCGCTACGGATTCATTTCACATTGCTACCTCGGAATGAGATGAACTTTTTTTGCACTTACAGGAGCCCAGCTTCGGTGTATAACTGAACACGAGCCATTTGGAACTAATAAGATCAGCCCCAATTGGCATGCAACAAGTTAGAAATGATAGACTTGCATTTTGAAGATCATTCTTCGTATGCGTAAACACTGACAAACACTTAGTTGCCAAAATTAACGCAGACTAAAGGCAGAAGCTAATTCAAT